TAGCAGTTTTAGCTACTAATAAGTAATAACAGTGAGCTAAATGAGGTACAAACTGAAACAACCACCTTAGCTAGTACATGAGCATCAACCACACACGCATCATACAAGACCTAATATGATATGAATCAGAAGCAAAGCCTCATAAAGGACCTCATCAGGCCACCCTAGCTAGTTTGGTTGCTCTCCTGCAACCCACACATGAAAAACAAAGAAAGAGAAACCCCAATGCAGTTAACAGGAAGCAGCAGAGAGAGGATATAAAATGTAGACTAGGAGCATTACCACCATTTCTTCGAGCTTGCTTGGGCCCAAGATTAGAGGTGCTGGTGCATCTGTTCGGTGGCTGCATCTCAGGTTCTCGAATGCCTCCTCCAGGGGTATGTTCTCCTGCAACATGAAGCAGCACGGACTTCAGGATCACAACAGCAAGGATTGAAGAAAGATCAAACTCATTGCTAATACTTTTCGGCTTTAGCAGCTCAGTTGCACCACTTGAAACAAGGGTATATATAATTAAAAGAAACTCTGTCCCTCTATAGCTACTACACTTGCAGCAGCTCCATTGCACCACAAGTGAAAAATAAATATAGGAAGACCATCAAGGAAACCACTAACATTTAATAACAGGCCACAACTTTCGACAAAATGATAAACACTAGTACACCAACCTGCCAAAGTCAATCTTGAGTTACTACTATATATTGTGTTGCTAGGACAAAAATCAAAACTTCCTACCACTCACTGGATTCAGATTTGAATATGTTTGCTCGGAGTGTACGATCAGTTTAGGATTAATGATCAAGGAAGTGGCCTTTTCCAAGACCCAACTTGCTCAGATACCATGGAAGGATTTGCTCAGAATATATGATCACAGAAGGGGGCCTTTTTTCAAGAGCTAACCTTACTCAGATACCGACAAAGGTAAGAAAAGTAGTCATATTATGCAACCCATGAACAAAGCAAAGTTACATGGTTTACACTTCAAGCAGGAAAGGATGCACGTGAAAGGTCATTGTGGATCCATGTTCAATTCAGATTTTTGCATGCTTGCTCAGAATATATGATCAGTTTAGGATGTTAATCAAGGAAGGAGGCCTTTTCAAGAGCAACCATACTCAGATACCGTCCTTGTGATTCATCACAGCAAGCATACAAAAATGTATGGAAACTAGTCATACTCATGCTACCCGTGAAACCCAGTGAAGTACATGGTTTACAATTCAAGCAATAAAGGATGATGCAACAAAAGATCAAAAGACATTGTACAAACGATATCAGCATGTTGACGAAACATGCTCCAAGTACAGCCAAACATTTTGGTCTATAAAAGAATACTATATACTGCATTGGATATCGATCTTCCTTTATCATGTCACATAAGCAAGCATGAGGGAACTCATGGGGTATCCGATTAATAAAATTGTAGAATGAATCTGAGATAGGAATATTTCTCACACATCTTCCAGAAGTTGAGCCATATTAATTAGCTCACCAATGCTACAACTCTGACTTACCACACAGACTATAAATGTCTGTATCAGCAATAATATATCTGAGTTAAAATCATTGGTGCGAACATGGTAGATAAATGTTGCACCGATACTTCCGCAAAAATAAAATACAATAATGTTGCAATGATACTTAAGGGCAAGTTAACCTTCCCCGCGCAGGCCCTCTCCTGCCGCACCCCTCTCACACCCTCAGGAACAGCCACCTATTAGCGTCAGTGGGGAGTAGAGACAGTTTTCTACTTGTCTCTGTTATCAGTCACACTAACGGAGTAGTTACTGAGAGAAGTAGCATCCATTATTCTACATCTGCCTCTGTTAGTTATTGCTTAAAAGTAGTTAGTTGTATATTGCCAAATCAGCATTTTTCTGAGAAAAGGTAAATCCCTGAATCAGTAAACATATCTGCACCAGAGCAGCACATAAATTACAAGAACCAATATCGAAGAATGGCGATGCACAAGTAAACTACCACTTAGGGGTAGGTTGGTACGTGGTGATCACTGATACGACTCAATTCCTACAGATTGACAGGAAACTCAGTACTACCGAAACAATCGCTTCCGGTTTGATCGGATTGGGTCTTAGCCCTCCCTACCTAAACAAACCCTAATGAAGGTCCAACTCCTAGAGGAAATTCACCGGCAGCACAATGCAATAGCTGACTGGCATGCAATATGAAACGACTTTGATACACATGCAATTGACGCACCTATCAAGCAGTTGCCAGCGGTTTCCAATTTGTGCATCCACATCATCAATCTCCTTTTCTAATTCCTGAAGCATTCAAGCATAGCATCAACCTAAAACAGAGCAAAAATATATGTCAACAACTAACCCATAAATTATTCAATAGTATGTTAAATTATTCAATAGTATGTATAGATGACCAACATCAATAGTAGCTCCACCAAAGAAATCTCTCCAACTAACAGAATTGGGGGATGGCGAATGTAGGCATAGAGATCAGTGGTAAAGCCACACGGTGCAGCTTTGTTAACAAGAGCAACCAAGACCCTTATACTTCTAATGCTGACATGATATACATCAATCGTTCTATTTTTTAGGCTAGGGAAAGACTTTGCTGCATTAAGAAAGAATTGTCACAATCATTTTGACATAAATAACGCAAGGAGGAGCTTGTGCCAGCGACCAAGCATAAGTGCCTAGAGCTAACTTGTGAGCAACTCTCAAACGTATACTTCAATGTAAACTAACACAGAACCCTTGTAGTATAACTCTGTTGATGCTAGTTCAGCATTTTGTTCCAAATGAACACGTAACATAAAGGTGGAAATGCAATCAAGCAGGTGTCAACAGTATATGCAGGCCAGGACCGAGTGAAAGTTGACTAATTCAGGATGCAGTTTATGATGAAGAGATCCATTCATACAGTCTAATTTAGGATACGGTTTATGATGAAGAAATCCATTTGTTCTGTTTAGTATCTCCATCTGTTTAGTATCTCAACATAGAGAAGTACAAGATGGCGAAGAAGGCCGCAAAGCGAGCTGTTGGTGAAGCAAGGGGTCGGGCATATGAGGACCTCTACCAACGGTTAGGCACGAAGGAAGGTGAAATGGACATCTATAAGATGGCCAAGATCCGAGAGAGGAAGACGAGGGACATTGGCCAAGTCAAATGCATCAAGGACGGAGCAGGCCAACTCTTGGTGAAGGACGAGGAGATTAAGCATAGATGGCGGGAGTACTTCGACAAGCTGTTCAATGGGGAGAATGAGAGTTCTACCATTGAACTAGACGACTCCTTTGATGAGACCAGCATGCGTTTTGTGCGGCGAATCCAGGAGTCTGAGGTGAAGGAGGCTTTAAAAAGGATGAAAGGAGGCAAGGCAATGGGCCCTGATTGTATCCCCATTGAGGTGTGGAAAGGTCTAGGGGACATAGCAATAGTATGGCTAACCAAGCTTTTCAACCTCATTTTTCGGGCAAACAAGATGCCAAAAGAATGGAGACGGAGTATATTAGTACCAATCTTCAAGAACAAGGGGGATGTTCAGAGTTGTACTAATTACCGTGGAATTAAGCTGATGAGCCATACAATGAAGCTATGGGAGAGTCATTGAGCACCGCTTAAGAAGAATGACAAGCGTGACCAAAAATCAGTTTGGTTTCATGCCTGGGAGGTCGACCATGGAAGCCATTTTCTTGGTACGACAACTTATGGAGAGATATAGGGAGCAAAAGAAGGACTTGCATATGGTGTTCATTGACTTGGAGAAGGCCTATGATAAGATACCGCGGAATGTCATGTGGTGGGCCTTGGAGAAACACAAAGTCCCAGCAAAGAACATTACCCTCATCAAGGACATGTACGATAATGTTGTGACAAGTGTTCGAACAAGTGATGTCGACACCGATGACTTCCCGATTAAGATAGGACTGCATCAGGGGTCAGCTTTGAGCCCTTATCTTTTTGCATTGGTGATGGATGAGGTCACAAGGGATATACAAGGAGATATCCCATGGTGTATGCTCTTTGCGGATGATGTGGTGCTAGTTGACGATAGTCGGACGGGGGTAAATAGGAAGTTAGAGTTATGGAGACAAACCTTGGAATCGAAAGGGTTTAGGCTTAGTAGAACTAAAACCGAGTACATGATGTGTGGTTTCAGTACTACTAGGTGTGAGGAGGAGGAGGTTAGCCTTGATGGCCAGGTGGTACCTCGGAAGGACACCTTTCGGTATTTGGGGTCAATGTTGCAGGAGGATGGGGGTATTGATGAAGATGTGAACCATCGAATCAAAGCCGGATGGATGAAGTGGCGCCAAGCTTCTGGCATTCTCTGTGACAAGAGAGTGCCACAAAAGCTAAAAGGCAAGTTCTACAGGACGGCGGTTCGACCCGCAATGTTGTATGGCGCGGAGTGTTGGCCGACTAAAAGGCGACATGTTCAACAGTTAGGTGTGGCAGAGATGCGTATGTTGAGATGGATGTGTGGCCACACGAGGAAGGATCGAGTCCGGAATGATGATATACGAGATAGAGTTGGGGTAGCACCAATTGAGGAGAAGCTTGTCCAACATCGTCTGAGATGGTTTGGGCATATTCAGCGCAGGCCTCCAGAAGCTCCAGTGCATAGCGGACGGCTAAAGCGTGCGGAGAATGTCAAGAGAGGGCGGGGTAGACCGAATTTGACATGGGAGGAGTCCGTTAAGAGAGACCTGAAGGATTGGAGTATCACCAAAGAGCTAGCTATGGACAGGGGTGCGTGGAAGCTTGCTATCCATGTGCCAGAGCCATGAGTTGGCTGCGAGATCTTATGGGTTTCACCTCTAGCCTACCCCAACTTGTTTGGGACTAAAGGCTTTGTTGTTGTTGTTGTTGTTGTAGTATCTCCAACTAACAACGGAATGATACGAAACTAGGTCTAGTAAACTACTAGACCAAAAACGAAGAAAAAGAAGTAAATCATTATCTGACAAAATTGTGCCCCAGTAATTTAACCGTTTCAGCTTCTCAAGCTAGTCATCAGTAGCCGACGAAGTCAGGGAAAAAAATGATTCCCTTAAACAGCGAACCAGAGCAAATATATAGCGTACCAATAGAACCAGGAGAGTGTTCATGCATGGAAGAAATGCATACCTTGTCAATCAGCGCTGACAAGACTTTTTCCTCTGAAGCAACCTCGGTGAGGTCGTCTGACTCCTCTGTAGCAGCCATATATGCCTTCTTAGCTTCTTCTGCCCCCTCTGTGTCTTCTCTTTCAAGCATGGAGTTATATAGTTTTTTCTGCATTCCTCAACAATTAAGTACTACTCAGACTCCACGGTAAAACAGTTCATACATGCAACAAACAAAAAAATGATGTATGGTAATTGTCCCTCTGACCCCACTTAAAAAATTCACATCGTACCTCCTTGTTGACAAGGCTCGGGAACTCTTGACGCTCCTTGCTAACAGACTGCAATGTAAGTAATAATGGCACTATCACTAAAGAGTCCGCGACGTACTGACAGAAAATACAGATGGACCAGGATCATACCGATGCAGATGCCAGCACAGCCAATGCCCGACTGACATTACAGAGCTGCTGTTGGTCATGTTGTTTTGCTTCTATCATTTCTTCTTCTTCCCTAGCAGTAGGCCCAATCATTTCCTTTAAAGCCAAATCTTCTTCAGCGGCCTCCTGTTCTGTGAGAATTGCCTTTTCTTCCTTCTTTTGTTTTGCCTTCTCTTCTTTCTCTTTCTTCTTCTCTCCTCCTGAATAGTTTCATTGAAAGCATTAAAATAACTGATTACATGTTCAGTAGCAGCATTACGCTAAGTTAAAATAAACAGGTAATAGCTGAGTGTTAGCAGAAATCCCGCTTGCGCAGGGTCCGGGGAAGGGTCCGACCACTTGGGTCTATAGTACGCAACCTTTCCCTACATTTCTGCAAGAGGCTGTTTCCAGGACTCGAACCCGTGACCTCATGGTCACAAGGTAACAGCTTTACCGCTGCGCCAAGGCAACAGCATAATTATAGACTAATCAGCAGAAATTAAGTGATTCTCTTTAAATCAGTAGAACTTGAATCATCACGATCTTACGCAACCAACATTAGATCAGCATATAAACAGCTCTCAAAACCTTAGGTTCATCTAGACATTCTCACACACAGCCACAGCTCTTACTGCTAGTTTGCCAAATGCCCCTACAGCTCCATAACAGCTTTTCCAGCAGAGCCAAACCCCAACTGCTTTCAGACAAGTCTCAGCCCAATAGAACTGGACACGCATTTTCTCATAGGTGTGCATCTAGAAGTTGTTCATATGATATGTTGACAGTTGACACTACACTACATGGCCTTAAGTAACAAATAAAGGCATATCAAGAGTTCAGATAAAAATTTACTGCCATGGTGACATTTTAGTTATATGCCCTTTCCACTAGACATATTCTAGCTTTACCATGGAATAGCATAAACCATGTATAGCTTCTTAATACATATATTGCATACAAGGAAGACATGAATAGGCAAGACACTTGAGGTTTAATTATGAGAAGGGCATGACAGGATATTAGACATATTCCAAATTCTGAGGCAATGCAGGGCACATATGTTACCATGGGGTGTCAGAAAAAAAAGTAAATCAGATAAATGAGTTTCTGAATTAACAAGAGATAAACAAACTAATAAAATAAGGAGCCAGTCCGTACCCGCCCGCTAAAAACAAAATATGAAGCACGGGTTCAAAGAGAGCATTCATGTGTTAGCTTCTCACACGTACTGCCTGTGTAGGTTTCGTACTTGTGCCAAGTATTATGGTTGCACTGACAAACGATGTAAAGTAGTATGCAAATTTTCAGTATGGATAACCTATATATGAAAAAACAACACGATCGTGTTACACACCTTGATAAGTTCTTCCTGCATCTCAAGGAATTTCAGTTTTCTCCTCCTCTCAGAAACTGAATCTTCAGATGGCAATACTGTCCCAATTGTATCCACAACTTCATCTGGCAAAGAAGACGCTGTTGCTACAACAGCATCCACGGGTTTCGTTCTCCCAGCCAGGGTAAAAGCTCTGACAGCATTAGCAAAGATGGGTAAGCACGCAAGCCAAAACAGAGCTGTTCTAGCCACTAGCCAGTGGGAAATACATTAACTAAATTTACCTTGAAAGTATGAGAAGAGAAGATGGCACAACAGCAGGATTAAGTGATAGATCCAACCAGTCTTGTAGCTGGGCAGAAAATAAAATTGCAAGGAATTACTACCAAAGTTTAATATCCATTTACAAGGTAGCAGTTTAAAAAATTGAACACAAAGAAGTTGTGGTGAAAGGCAGTGCAATCCAACTTCAGATATGCTTAATTCTAAGTGCGAGCTGAGGCAATGGATGCTGTTTTCCTTCAACAGTGCGTCAGGATAAAATGTAAAATGAACCGGCTGATGAATTCATATCTGTATATGTCTGCTCAGAATAATATATGATCAGTTTAGGGTGTGCAATCAAGGAAGGAGTCCTCTTCAAGAGGCAACTTACTCAGATACCGGCCTTGTGATTCATCACAGCACTGCATACAGGAGGTCGCCGGAGTAGAGCCGCCAGATCTGGACCGGCCTGACGCCGTTGACCTTCGGGGTAACCAGCTGAAACGGGAGATCAGGTCGACCGGCTGGAGAGGGACGAAAGATCCCGTTTTTTGAGCCGCTGTTGGCGCCGGCGCCGGCCCGGGGGAGGGGGCAAATCTGGATCCGCGGTTTGGGGACGGGAAGGGGCCATAGGTGGAAGCGGAGGCGGGTAGGCAGGGAAGTGGGGAAGGGCTAGGCATGCGGCGGGGAGGAAGGCCGGAGACGCCGGGTCGCCGGCGCCGTGCCGG